GAAAAGAAAAGAAAAGAAAAGAAAAGAAAAGAAAAGAAAAGAAAAGATAGAAAAAGAAATGGGAAGAAAAGTTAAAGCAGGAAGACAGCCAAGTTACACCCACACTTCCAAAAAAAAAAAAATCCATCTATATTATCTAAAAAGCATGACCCGTCTTTTTAGATGTGGCAGTCAGTGCAATTATCAGGGAATGTACGACTTCAGTCTGGATTGTTACTAGATACAGCACTAAATGGTGATGCAATTAGGACAGCTAGAGCTAATTATTTCAGGATGTGCTATTTCAGCACCCCTTTGCTTTGCAAGGCCCTTTGCAAAGAGGAAAGCATGGTCTTTAAATACTCTGGCTACTGCTTCATTTTCAAGTGTGATTCAAAACACAGGTTTAGCTGATATATTAGAGATGGTTTGAAGTTGTTCCTTATGACAGATGGTCTTTTTCCCAACAGCCCTCTGGAGAGGGGCCACTCTGGCAAGGCAGTTTGTCTCTAGCCTCACTCTGCCTGCTGATCCATCAGATCTACATCTGGACACATCACACACAGCTGGCATCAAACTGCTGAGATTCTTTAACTCTGTTGAACAAACAGTCTGGCAGGTTTCTGCATTCATTGCACCAGTTTTGCAGAACAATTAATTGCCGAGGATGTGCTAAAGGACGTTGGAATGGGCTGCCCAGGGAAGTGGTGGATTCTCCGTCCCTGGAGGTTTTTAAGAAGAGACTGGATGTGGCACTTAGTGCCATGGTCTAGCAACCGCAGCGGTAGTGGATCAAGGGTTGGACTTGATGGTCTCAGAGGTCCCTTCCAACCCAGCTGATTCTATGATTCTATGATTGTTTTTCATAGTTTCCTTAATTTAAAAGAAAAAAAAGTTCCTTTGCTGCTGAATAACCTCATCAGTAACATCATCTGACCACCATTTCCAGGTGTTTTCAGCTGTGCCCATTGCATGGCCATTGCAGGGGCAGCCTCTGGGCCTCCTGGGCATGGGGACTTCCTCAGGGCCAGCACCCCAAAGGCTGCCTTCTGAGCAGCAGCTCTTGCTTTAGAACAGCAGCAGGCCTTCCTTTACATGAGGAATGAAGATGTCTGGAGGACAAGGTCCTGTGAGGGAGCTGAGGGAGCTGGGAGTGCTCAGCCTGGAGAAAAGGAGTTTCAGGCAGGACCTTCTGGCTCTTTACAACTACCTGAAAGGCAGCCGTAGACAGGTGGATGTTGGTCTCTTTTCCCAGGTAACAAGCAATAGGACAAAAGGAAATGTCTTCAAGTAGTGCCAGGGAGAAGTTTAAATTGGACATTAACAAAAATTTCTTCACAGAAAGGGTTGCCAAGAATCGAAACAGGCTGCCCATGAAAGTGGTTAAGTCAACATACGTGGAGGTATTTAAAAAAACTGTGGATGTGGTGCTTAGGGACATGGTTTAGAGGTGAACATGGCAGTGTTAGACTGAAGGTTAGGCTTGATGAACTTAAAGGTCTCTTCCAACCTAAATGATTCTAGGATTCCTAATGTGTGCATATCTCTAGACATCTGTTATTCATAGAAAACCAGGAATATTAAATATCATAGTTAGCTTTTTCCAGCAGTTTTGTTCACACTTGTAGTTAGTTCCTGACTTTCTAATCAACAACCACAGAGCTCTGTTAAGCAAAGAGGCTACTGTGGCTGTAGGATTTGGTGAAGAAGATGAGAAAGGGAGAGAAAAAACCACAAAAACGAATCCCAGACATACAAATGTACCACAACAGGTTGTCAAAAATACCACAGTGTGCAGACTGGACAGGTTGACCCCATAAAAGCATTCTTGGTATCTAGAAGTAGTAACACACAAAATGTTCAGGGGAAAATGTTTTTTCTGTGTTTCAACCAGACCTGGGTAGAGTAACTGTAAATGGCATATATCAATGGCAGGTGAGATGTGGCTAAGCACCTCTGTCCCTTTCTCCTCTTGGCAGACAGAATGCAAGAATTCACACAGCAAGCAGAGAATAGGGAGAAGGGCTGAGGCACTCTTAAGCTACTTTTGTAATTTTGAGCTATTCCAGAATTGGAGGTGGACCTTGTATAAATCAAAAGAGTGGTGGAGATAACTGTATTACAGGTCAGTTCCTTTTTATTGACATTAAAGAGGAAAATAAAGGTCATCTTATACCAACAGAATAGGGAAAATATTATTTTTATATTACCAATTTGTGAAATTGTGCATTTAATCTATATTCAGACTATTTCCAGTATGAAATTTGAAATGAAAATATACATGCTTGATCTTCCTCCTGCATATAACTCTTTTATCAACTCATCGAAAAGTTTAATAGGTCTCTTTACTTGCAGATAAATAAAAGTAGATGTAAAGGGGAAACAGCAATGAAGCTCAACTCCTTGTAATGGAAGTGCCATCTAGATAAAATACCATGGCCAACCCTTCCAAGTTTTCAGAAGCACATAAAAAGGGAAACTTTAAATGTTTGTTCTGATTGTTACAACATCATACAACTCCTACGCAACATGGATGAGATAGTCTAAACCAATCTGGCAATATCCCTTTAATGCTGATAAATTCTGCATTAATTATGCAATTAATTCTGCAATTAAGTATGCATGAATTCTGCCATAATGCTACTTGCTTAAAGGGAAGATGCCCAGATGACTTTATGCCTTAAAGATATCTGAGGACATATCCTTAAGGAAAGAACTCAACTAAGTACAACAGAGGAAATCAGCTGACACCAGTCACTGCAAGTGATCTTTTACCCTTTTCCATATATTTGCTGCATTGTATAACTGAGTTGCTTATTTATCACTGAGGAGAACCACAGACAAAATGTATACTATTTTTAACCACTTGCTGCCTATTTATGCTTGCTATCTTTGCCAGGTTTTTGCCAACAAAGAGAGCAGTCTGTCTTTCTACACAAGCTGAAAGAACAGTTGAAAGACTACATTTATAACCCTCCAGATTTAAAAACAGTTAACCCCAGAGTTCCACAGTATCTTTTATCTGAAACCTTTAAATAATATTCTGTAAGCTACTGATTTATGAATTAACTGATCTGTATCACATGAAGGACTGGAGATGTTTAAAAATAAACCTGTCCTCTGCTGGAATGGAATAATCTCTATTTCTCCTCATTAGAATATTGCTGCAAATGTTTCCTCCTATGGATAGCACAGCAACAGCTCAACAGTGGATGGTAGCAGTAGGACAGTTCAAGGCAAAAGCAGCACAACTTCTAGCTAGAGCTGCATGAAAAATTTAGGTGGGCAGAAAGTAACTATCAAATTGGAAATTCTTCAAGACAAGGGAATTATACTTAATCTCCATGAAGATTAACAAGGAATCTTTCCTGTGCTCACACACCTGAGACTTCAGGCAATACTAAGATCACCATCCACAGCTTGCCATGCTTTGGTGGAGCAAAGGGCACACTAGTATCTGACAGGGCAAGAGGAAATAGCCTCAAGTTGCACCAGGGCAGGTTTAGATTGGGTATTCGAAAAAATTTCTTCACTGAAAGGGTTATCAAGCACTGGAACAGAATGCCCATGGAAGTGGTGGAATCACTGCCCCTGGAAGTGTTCAAAACGTGCAGATATGGCACTTGGAGACATGATTTAGCAGTGGACCCAGCAGTGTTAGGTTAACAGCTGGACTTGATGATCTTAGAGGTGTTTTCCAACCTTAATGATTCTCTGATTCTGATTCACAGTCAACTCTTTTTTTCACAATGGATGCCCCATGGAGAAAATTTCTCTTTCAAAAAGATACCCAGTCTAGCACTCCTGAGAGATCCTTCAGACTTGCATCATTATGACTGTAGGCCAGAGCAGAAGTGAACATGGAAAACATAAAATCACTCTCTTCCAATGCTGACAGATGGTTTATGCTGAATCAAAGAACTGATGTAACTTTTAACCTCTACTGAATCTTTGATAAAAATAAAATAACATTAATAGTAATTATGAAAAATTGGCTCTGGAGTAGTGTTCCATGTACAGCTGCTTATCAGAAAAAGGAGCCAAATGAATGTCACTGTATGTTAGGAACATGATTCCTAGTAAACAAAAGACAATATAAAGTAAAGAGGCAAGTGTTCAAGAAGTGTTTGGACAATGCTCTTAAACACATATTTTATTGTTAAGCTTGCCCTGTGTGGAGTAAACATTTGGAATCAATGATCCTTGTGAGTCCCAGTTCAGAATACTCTGTGATTCTACAGTCCCAGGAATGTGAGAAACACCAGTTCACAAGCAGCAACTGTCATACACTTCTGATGTCTTCAAATTTAGTTTCATTCATATATGAGTTATTGAAATGTGAAATGTTAAAACAGTTAGCAAAAAATCTAACACCGAACAACTTAGAGAACCAACCAGAATGCTTCATAAAGTCCTAATAATTTTATGGCCCTATAAAAATATTTGAATTATTTGGATTCCTTCAAATGAAGTGTAATGCTATTAAATACCTTCTCAATACCCTCTAGTGGAATTCTAGCACTTTCTTTGCTTATAGCTAATCTAACAGATTTAACATCAGTGTGAGTGACTTGGACTGAAGATCGAACAAGTGACACAATTTATGATTTTCATCCATTGCCCAATATAAAATACATGCTAATGTGATAATGAAACTACTAAGTAAACCAAAAATCATTGTACACTAATGTGCTATCAATGAGGCAAATAACATTGATGCTCCTTTTACTGAAAAATGCTCGTGTCCTTTTCTAAGAACAGTTTGACAGATTTTGTTTTAGAAGTTCTTTGCACCAGAGACTATGTGAGTACACACGATGTGATTTCATATTGGAAATGAACTTTGCTCGGGTAGAATTCTGAATCTAAAAATAACTGTCAAATAACAGCTCAGTAGCAGCATGGATGTACAAAGGCAAGAAGTCTAAATCATTTCAGACCTCACATGCTGCAACAGGTAACTCACATAGTGGGCTAGAGGGCAGCAGAATATTACAATATCTCTATCACATGCAGTGGAAATGCTTATATTATGAAAATTTTTACTTTTACTGGAAAAAAGTAATATGGAGACAAATAGGAATGGGTTTTCATTGCTATCCTTATGATGATGATGATTACAAAAAAAAAAACAACAAAACAACCCTTCAATGTTCATTTGCCTTCCTACACTTAGATACAGCAAAAACAAAAAAAGAAAATTCAAAGAAACTGTCAGTACTAATTCTCTCCTTCAGAGTGTAGCTATGACTTGGGAAAGTTAAATTTCCCTGTGCTTTTGGCATTTTGACGTTAAACTATCTCTAAAGAGATAGAAACTACATTTTTAAAAGGAATTTAACTGATGTCAGGTTTTGCCCTCAGAATCACAGGGACAGAAACCTCCACTTATTCACATAAGATTCTTTTCAGTGTCCAAACAATATGCTCAAACAGTGGTCAGAAAAATCAAGGCAATTCTGCATCTGCAAAACTCTCAGTCTGTGTATAAAGATTGTTAGGAAGTCAATGAATGCCAGTTTAAGCAAGTATTTTCACATGCATATATGAGATAGACTAGATTAAGATGTTGATTTATTTCAGGGAGAAGGTCACTTGTCCTATGGCAGCTATTTTTTTGGTGATTGTTACAGCTGTTTGATTAGAGTTACTTAACAGTCCATATCTAGCTGAATTGGTGGCACTGAAAAGCTAGATTTGGAAGTTTTAAACATTTAACTTTTTTATTATTACTTTTTAAAAACAAATATTGTTTTTTCTGAAACTGAAATTTACCATGCATTGATAAGCTGATTAATGTCTCATTATCACATGAAGAGAAATCAATCTATTTACATTCTATTTGAGAGCTACAGACTCCCACAAATAGCATACATCTCTTTTGTATGGTGACTTGCAGTTGTGCAAGGTCATGGAGCACAACTGCTGTATCTGCCCACTTTAATTCCATCTGGTTTGCTGCCCAGGATAACTTTCTTCTGTGTTCCCAATGCCTGATGATTTAGAAAGTCAGGAGATGCTCCAGACATGAGGAAGTGAGCTGCACTGTCACTTGTGCTTGTAGCACAGAGACACTTTTCAGACGGCTGTTTTTGCTACTGTTGATGCTCCTGAAATCACTGTCATTACCAGTTGATGGGGCATTCATTGTAGATGGCTGCTGTCAGCAGTGATACCCATTTTTGGTAGCTGCAAAAACATCATGGTACTTGAACTACCCTCAAGCTCACCTTTGAGATGGAGTCTCCAACATATTTCTGGAAAAGTTTACATACTCTCTGCTAGGCATAGCATGTGGATAGACTTCAGTATTCAGGCCTATCGGTTTTCAAACTCTACCATCCTTTATAATGTTCACTTGAATGGAGTGTGCCTTTGCTTTATGCATTTGTCAGTGTAGGACAGCCACATGTGTATCATGTTTAGTAGCGAGAAGCATAGTATGAACTGTTCTCACGGGTTTAAAACTATATCTCACAAACAAATTTTTTGTACTTTCTACACCAGAGTGCTCTGTAAAGACAACATATAGTATGTGCCAGATCTGGAGTCTTTCCAGAAGTACTGCCCGAGTTATCATATGGTGGAAAAACATTTGAACTCCTTGTTTCATGCCCTAAAACAAAACAAGGACAAGATTGTCACAGTTAAATAGCAGAAGCAGCCAGGAAAATGATCTTCAGATTCTTTCATAAATTTTACCTCTGGGCTGAGAAGTTCTGTAATCCTGTAAGGCAATTGTTTTGAACAGTTAATGAGCCAAAAAGTGGGAGGACTTGACTTATAGTCATAAATGTCTGCTGGAAAACCTCTCACTGATACTGATGGGAGCTACACGGACAAAGACAGGGAATGCACAACTACTTAACTAAAGGAACCATCTCATTCACACACTAACTTGGATCCTTACTTAGAATATCAAAAAACTTACTTGGAGGATCCAAATCCTAACACAGAAGGATTTCAGTAGAAACTTGGGTTTAGGGGTAGGGAAAAAAGGCTCTTTCAAAAAAGCTAACGGAAAAACTTACTCAGAAACTAACTAAACAGCAGGCAAGCCTTTAGGAAGTCTGTGTTGTAATGAGCATCTTCCCTGCACATGAATATATGTTTGAACTCTGTGCAAATTTTCAGTCTAGGTGTTGTTGAGAACTGTTGCAAAAGTCACAGTGTCAAAGTTTAAGCTGCACTGCTCACATCAGTTCGTCAATGTAAGTGGAAGAACAGAGAAAACCTGGTGCTCTTCTCGGTGACTTTTGAACTTCCAGCCAGAACTCAGCGGCTTCTCTGATGTAGGTGGTACCAAAGTGTCTTATAAGTGATTATTATACCTTATACAGCCATCCTTACCATTCTGGCATTTTCATGAAACACCTTTGTAGTCTTCAGAGTGACTGCTCAAATCAGCAAATGTCTCAAAACATACTTATGTTTAGCCAGTTGTTCCGGATGTTAACTGCTTGTTAAATTTCTTTGAGAAGATAGAGAGAGCACAAATTATCCAATTACTATTCCTGGGTGTTATTGGTATGACGGATTTTTCAATTTTCTATTTCAATTTTCTATTAAAAACATAGCAAGCCAAAAAGAGGGATCAGAACATCTTGAACACGGCATATCTAAACTCTTGCCATTTGAGACAATGACATTTTGTAGGCTGGAAGGAGAGGAGTAACAGAACAGAAGCTAATGCACAACTTTTTTCATTAAGTGAGGCAATATACAGGAAACACTGATTCAGCATAGCTGTACTGAAACTTAAAAATACTTCTATTTATTGTTTCTAGTATCTACCAAACAGAAAGGAGACAAAGAGCAGCAATATTATACTTTTCACTTTGATATCCTTAAGAAGTGTATAGACCTAGATGAAAAAAGCGAAGAGTGAATGTAGGTTTTTGGAAGATGAAGAAAAATGTTCAATATATCCCAACCTTTCAAGAGGCAAGTAAAGCATATGGTACAGCATGTACACTCCTGAAGGGATATGAAAGACTTTTAAAGGATGAAGAGATGCAGCTATCCCATAACTATCAGTGAACAGGGAGGTAGAGAAGTATATTACCTACGTCATCATCATCATCACATATTATGAGAGAGCAAGTAATGCACAGAGACAGTCCAGCAGTCTAGGCCCATTTCAGAACATACAGAAAAAAGTATGCAAAAGCAGAGCTCTCTACATGATGGGATACTGCATGGGAACTGTTGACTGCAGTACTGACACTTAAAGCTCTATGTTTTTATCAGCATGGAGTGTGGGATGGTAGGATCAAAGCAGTATTGTCAGATTCAAATCCACTAAGATGGTTTTGCAAGAAGGAAAAAACATCCAGTTTTAAACCGCTTTCTCATGTAATTCTTTTTTGGGCGTTTTTTTTTTCTTCTTCTTTGTTTGTTTGCTGTTTTTTGTTAGTTGGTTAGTAATTTACTTGAAGTAATCCTGAGTATAAGCATTTCTTACTCCTATCAGAATTAAACTGAAGAAATATTTGAAGAGCAGCACACGTGATTCTGAGTTTGCAGCCCTTGGAGGTAAGGACTTTGCACCCTTCTCATCCATCTCAAATAGATCTGCAATTTGTTTCTTTATGATTGTTTTCAGTGGTTATAAAACTTAGGCTTTCTATTTGCCTTACCGTATGATACCACAAAACAGACTCCTTCACGACAGTCTATATTTACACACCTTATGTTTGCTCAGCACTGTAAAGCAACAACATAAAAACTAGCAGCTACAGCAGTTATTACAATCTCCAGTTAGTAAAAGTCAATCAGCTTTTAGCCTCATGGCATAACATAACCCCAGTGTGTGGGTTGTCATCATATTGTGATGATTACTGATCCAGTTCCATATGTGGTGCACAGTTAAGACCACAGGAGATGACAATGGAAAAATAGAAGAGAGCACAGAAGTTTTAATGTTGAAAAGCATAACAAACTGGATGGATTTTTTTTACAGTTACTTTGTCTCACTCCTTTCTGATTCATAATACAAGAGCATTATCCAAACAAATAAGTAAGCTCAAAAAATGCATAATAAAGTATCATAATCGAAAGGATGATGGGAAATCTCTCTCTCCTTCTCTGTTTACTGGAAATGCCAATACATGACTAATAATGCAATCTGATTTAACGTTATTAAAATAGAGAAGATAATATGCTTAGTTTTGTTGTCTTCTATACTGTATGATATGGTAAGATGTTTCAAAAGCGTGTGTATATAATCCTCCACCCCAGAACCTTCCACTAAAACAAAAAGCTTTCTTATAAAATATTTTTGCAATGAAATATCTGCTGTTTGGAAAGTTACAAAATGAACTAATTAAAACTTTTTTAAATTGTCATCCTCAGAACATGTCAATTCTATTTAATAAATTATTGTTGCCCTCTAGTGTTCAAACACAGCTTGTAAAGGCCCCTCCAGAAAGATCCAAACTGGTCACCTAACAATTCCCAATTTGTTCTTAATCTGACACAACCAGTGGATGGCTAAAAAAAAAAAAAAAAAAGGTTTAAGTGTTTCAGTACACCTGCCTAATACCTTATTGTCTTTGCTCAAGCATAAAAAAAGGTTTTTCATGTAAAGTTCTTTTACTCAAGTATTGTGAAAGGCCACTCACTCACCAAATTAGTTATGGTACTTGTGCACTGTTCTGCCTTTCACTGTGCTTGACATGCATTGCTGTTTGGGTTGGAGGGCAATGTTTTAATGATATTAGTCAAACTGTAGAATCATAGAGTGGTTTGGGCTGTAAGGGACCTTAAAGCTCATCTTGTTTCAATTCCCCTGCCATGGACTGGGACACTTTCCACTAGCCCAGGTTGCTCAGTCCCATCCAACCTGGCCTTGAACCCTTCCAGGGATGGGGCAACCACAGCTTCTCTGGGTAATCTTCTCCAGTGCCTCACCACCCTCAGGAAGAATTTTTTCCTAACATCCAATTTAAACCTACCCTCTGTCATTTTTAAAGCCATTCCCCCTTGTTCTATCACTTGTAACATGCCCCTCTCCAGCTAAATACATGCCCAGTGCTCTGAACAACCTTGAGATGTATCTGCTTGTCTTCTGTTGAACATTTTGCTACTGTACTGTAACTTATCAATTAACAGCAACCATCTTTCCCTCCAACAAATTACAGCAGAAATGCACAGTGAGGATTCAGGGGTTGTTCTCAGCACTTCTCCTGCAACAAGCTGCTGTGAGCTCACCTGCAACATATAAAGCTACTCATGAAGTTTTAGTTCTTATGAGAGTAAATTATGGTCAACCTAAGATCTGCATCTGCATTTTTACAGCTAGGCCTAGTACTTATCAGTCTGTGAACTCATTTCCTAAAAATGTTGTTTCCTCTTATCATGTTCCTTGACCAGAAACCTCTGAAAATGTCTATTAAAAAAACCCAAACACTGAGGTTAAATAAAGTGCAGTCAACAAACAAGCTGATGAATTTGAGATACTTTTCTTTTGCAATTTTGTTCACCTTTAAGAAGTTATCCAGAACAGCTGGACTTGTACCTATAAAGCAATGTGCAGCACCCCCCATAGTAAGAATTCAACTTCTTGACATTTCTTTGATCTCTGAATAATGGAATTTTCAGGGAATTTTCTTAGAGCTTTCAGAAAACTTGCCTTGAGGCCATTTTTGGATCACGCCTGCTTCCCACCACACTAAGCTTGACAGATCTAACAATCTCTTGGATGTGAGTCACATTTCATATTTTGTAATAGAATTGTTTCCTTGCACTCAGGAGGCATCCTTCCTTCTCTACCGTGATGTTTGTTGTTGATTATGCTGCCTGACATGGATACTTTGAAATCTAGCCTTTCATTCTAAAAACAGGTTTAGACTGAGTGCATGCAAAGGGAAATAAAAATAATATGAACTGGAAGTTGTGGAGCAAGTAGTAGATGCTCACAGGCCCTCTCACTGTTGCAGTCAGGGAAACACAGATAATCACAGAATTGTTTAGGTTGGGAAAAAACTTGGAAGATCATCAAGACCAACTGTTAATAAGTTGCTATACTTATTACCAGTCACATGAAGGGGACCCTAGAAGTGAAGCGGGTGTGCTTTGAGAGCCAGCAAGAGCTCTGTGTGTTCAGGAGGGACAGCAAGTCCAGCACTGACACACACGGTCCTTTCGAGAGCCACTAACGAGGGAAGCAGGTGAATGCCAGAAGCATGAAGATAATGCAGCCTTGTCCATCTGTTCCTGCTGACTGCAGGAAACCTCTTTGAGATGTGCACCCTCCAACAACATAGCCACCATTTTTCTCTAAAACTTTTTTACCTCTTGGTAGATGTTCACCAAAGGGAGTCCACACCTTTCTGTGTGTCTTCTGCCAATAATACAGCTGTTGTCCTTGCTAAGCCCACTCACAGGTTTCTCCCCCTTCCTGAGATGTTGAGTCTCAGCGGTCAGGGATTTAGGTGTATTAGAACAAATTCTCTGTCGTGCATATGCCAAGTCACTTGGTGATGCAGTTTGTCACAAAAGACCTTGACGGTAGCTTGCTTTACTTTCGGAAGATAACTTTCTCTCTGATACACATTGCACAAATCCAAGTTTGAAAAGGGCAAATTCCACTCTTTGGAAAAGGCCAATTCAGATTTTTAGTATGTGGTTTTAAGGACAGCTCATGATGTATGCAGAAAAAGAACTTTGAAGATATGTATATAACTATAAATTATATGTAGAAAAGGAAAATTAAGCTATGTTATATGTAATATAATTTTTACTGTTTGTACCTAAAACCATTTCAATGCAGAGCTCTATTACTAAGTATTCCTTTAAAACTACAAATAGAGTAAATAGGATTGCCAGGCAATCATGTAACACTATGGCATTTGGTGCAAATAGCACTGAAAACACCTACCTGCTGCACAAGTACTCAATTTATTAGGTGTACTTCTATTTCACTAATCTTGTCACAGTACAGATTAGGCTCATGAAATGCTTTTTCTCCTTAAATATAAGACCTTCGTAGCTTAACTTGGATTTGAGTGTTTATTCTTAGGATTTAGTATAAATAAAAAATGATAGACATTATAGTTCAGTGTAGAAACTGCATTTCTTTCCCCCACCAAACCCATATCCTGCCTTCTGCTTTGCCATTAGAGGTGAAAAAAGGAATCCATCCTCTTCTGAGATTTCAGTTATCTACTGTTCCATTTCAGAGTTGCCCTCTCAAAAGTTACATGCTCCTCAAAATTTTATTCCCTCTCCCCATCAGACATCAGAATACATTCCATTGATCAAGTAATCCAGCCTGGTATAATGCCTCTTCTGAAGAGATTCATGTATTTTCTTCCCTGTCAGTGCAATAACCAGCAACAAGAACATCACCCCAAAAAGCAAAGCTGCTAGAAGGCTGCTTTTCTCCCCCAGCTGAACAACACCTTTCCCTCTCAGAACACCCTCTGACAGGTAGCTTTCTGAGTCAGATGGGTCATAACCCTGAAGGTCATTTTGGGAAGATATGGGGGAATCACTAGTAGAGAGAATGAAACCTGAAAAAGAGGAGAGGGTTACATGGCTGGTATCATTGGAAGAGACAGCTGCTGGCTCAGAAGACGTGGTTGGAGTCCTTAGCCCTGATGGAGCAGTAGCAGATCTGGAAGTTGTGGTTGTAGAAGTTGTGGGACTGGAAAGAGGAACACGAGTAGCAGCGATGCTGGTGACAGGGACACCAGGTTTAGCTCCAGTGGCTGTGGTGGTGGTGATTGTAGGTTCAGCAGCACCAGGATGCAGAGAGGTTGTATGAAATTCCAACCGGGCCGTACTTGCAGGCAGAGGAGTAAGAGTAGTACTGCTGGTTTCAGGAGCACTAGGCTGAGTGGTGGGGAATGAAGCAGTGGGGTTTCCAATGTGAACAGCAGAAAACATGTTTGGTGGCAGATTAATTACTTTCTGCCTTGGGATGGAATCTAAGCTCTCAGACTGTTTTGCCCTTTGAGATTCAGGAAAATCTGTATGAAATTCAATGTTGTCTAAATGCTTGTCTATGTGGTTCACGGGTTCAGATGCCTGATGAAATATAGATTGTTGCCAAGTGGCAGTATGATTCTGATGGCTATTCTGAGTGTGAGAAAAAATCGTTCCTGCATCCGAAGACAAAGAATACTCATTTGAAGAAAAGTTCTCAGTTTTGATAGATTTATCCTCTGGGGCATGGGTGTCTGGAAACAGAAATACCAGTATTTAATTATTAAATCTATTTTTGACTAATATAGGCTTACTCAATTTGTATTACTTAGAAAGAGAGACATAAGGGAGCTCCAGGAGGTAATGACTAATGAAACTGAGGCATCATGAACTTCTTTTCTTTAAAATATACACAGTGACATTTAAATTCCGCGTCAAAAATACCTGTCAGCCTCAAGCCTCATCCCATAAGGCCATGACTGCAACTTCTTACAGAATTTTCCTCTGCAGTGATCATCCCAGTGTGATTAGTTTATACCTACATTGCAGGCGTGTAAGCATTTATTTAGAGGTGAAAAGCAGAGTGAATAGGCTCACTGCTTTCAAACTATTCTCAGCCTCTGTGAGTTAAGAAGTAGATATTATCAATGTTACTTTTGTCAATTTTTTTGTGAGATGTACATTTCCACCTAGTTAATATGATTAGATACAGCCCTTTCTTGTAATGTCCAAGCACCCAGTGCCTGACACAATTCAATTCACATTCAAAAATTGTTGTATGATACAAGGTGGCAATAACATCTCCATTTTATAGGACATTTTATACACATACTGATTTGTAGGAATGACCTGAGTTCCTACTGCTGTGCTTGAAGACACTGCTCCAAGAGTATGTGAGGCACTGGCAGAGAAGACCTCCATGAGAAGCAGACTACATTTTATAAATTTCTCCACAAGCTCATATGTATTCCTTGCAAAACAGGTGGCTGATGTCATTTAATAGAATTTGGAAGAAGAACAACAGTGTTATGTGACAGAAATACCATAAAAATTATAATCCTAGCAGCTACCTGATTTTACACAGTACTACAGAAAGTATTTGGGTGAACACAAGCTCTTGGAAATACCAGCTAATTGTTCATTCAGATTTTATATATCTATATATGTATAAAGATATGATTTATATTTATAATATAAAAATACAATATATATTTATAACAATTCAGCTGCTGCACAGAACATTTAAAAGGGAACATGCTCTCAAATAGTTCTGACTCTCACTCATTTGTTTTTACCATAGAAAGAAAGAGGTTTGTTAACTGCAGTGGAATTGAAATAAATTAAAAAAAAGTCCATTACATTTTCATTGTCACTTTTTCCTCAAGTAGGATCTCTTATCTAGAGCGATGGATATATTTCAGTTTTACTATACAAGCAAAGAAGCCTACTTGGCTGGTGTTTTAATATATCTTTCCAAGCCTTAAGACGCCACAAAAAAAAATGAAGTGCAAAAAAAGCCAACCCCAAACAACAAACCAAAACGCTAGCAATGCTAAAGAGTACAGCAAATACTTCATTTGAATCACGGGCACAATTTTATCTTAATCTTCCATCAAACATTGATTTTATAGTATTTTTTGTCTCCATTTTAAACTACAAGCTCCCAGATGCAGTGGCCCAAAACTGTCACATGCAAAGTACAGTTGGGGTATTAGGATAGATGTTTGTTGGTAAGAAAGAACAAGGGCACTATATGAATCAAACTTTAAAAGGAGCTGAAAAAAATAAAATGGTCTTTCTGATATGTCAAATCCAATATGCTTCCTTAGAAACCAAACTTCAGGTTGTCACTCTTAAAAAACAAACTAAACACCTCTTGAGCATGTTTTACTTCACAAGCCATAGGTTGTTTCCATTCATTAACAGCCATAAGGATAGTAAAAAAAAAAGAAAAAGCTAAATTTTATTACTAATGTAGCATCAGTATTTTAAGTTGCTTTATTACCAATAAATTATCTTTCCCCCTTTTATTCTGGTTTTCAGTGTAACCACATACACATCCTCATATAAAAGAACAAAGTTTGAAATGTTTGTTGGTACTGACACTGCTCAGGTGCTACCTTTGAAAACTTATTAGGAACATAAGGTAAATAAGCTAGGATAATCTTTCCCTAATTCAATGTTCACAGAAGCTAAAAACTGCAAAATGAAAGAGAGGTAGTATATGCAATCGAGTTGTTCACTCAGCATCGTACTCTATGCAGAATGAAAGCACAATTACATTTCTTCTTCCTTTGTTTGAAACTCTGATATTCTTGTAGGGGAGAAAGAGCTGGAGGAAAGAGTAGTTATAATAATAATTTTACAGGCATGCAGTTCATTTGTTTCACATTGCTTTTGCACAATTCCTGTGTGACTGTGCTTGCACAAAAACACTTGGTAACATTATATGAGTAATCTTTCCATATATCATGCTGTTGCTCCTTGCAAATAGTTCCTCTTGGAAAAGCTCTCTTTTTCAGCAGGAGTTCAGTTTCTGGAAATATGAAATTTTTGCTCTCTCAAGCAGCCGTACTGAAACCACCTCGTAAACTCTTGGCAAGACAATCTAATTATCAGTTTCTTATCTGAGCTGTTCAAACAAGTCTGGTGCAAGTCAATGTCAATCGGCAAACATGCCTTGTCATTAAAAATTCCACAGCCTATGACAGAGAGCGAGAAATTCCTGAGTGTGCAGCCCATATACCATAAAGCTTCCAGTTTAGAAAGTTTGCTTCTGCACTTCAGGTTCTCTTACTGAAAACAGAAAATAATGATTACCATTGCTAATTATTCATCAGTGTAACGTGAGCCCTTTAAAAAGGGCATGGTATTTCCATTGCTTTCAGTGATACTCTCCATCACTACATTCAGGAAATCTTCCTTCTTGAATATATTAATATAGCAGCAGCTGCTTTTTGTTTTAAGCAAGGGCAAATGATGAGGAGTTCTCAATCTAATGTGAAGGAATTTTATAAGGGTCATGGTGTTATTCCAAGCAGGAAGCTGGGCCCACAAATAAGCTCACCACATACCTGCTCCTCCATTTTCCACAAGGTAAAGGAGCAACATTCTCAATTTATTGGGCTTGGCTTAGAACATTTTACTAAAAACACACAAAAAACCCATTTTCTGGCCACTACTGAAAGTTCACAGGTGGAAAAGTCCTCTAGTGTGGGGGCTATTATTAAAATTATTATTATTAAATAATCTCACTATTACTTACCTGTAGTTATCTTGTAGCTCACAAGTCCTGTTGCAGGTTTCATCAGACAAGCTTCTGTGGTAGGGCAGTAAAAGAGGTAGCAGTTTGGATGTGCTTTTGTTCTTCCAGCATAAAAAATCATCAAATTACACTTCTTGTCTCCTGCAAAACATAATAAATGTGTGTTACAGCAATAAGAATTTTTATAGCAGTATGATAATGAGCTCTATTTCGTTAATTTTTCTTCATGTGAGTAAGAGGAAAACTACTAACTCATAACATCCCTACAGGAAAAACAGCCAAGGAATACAAAAGAATGGCCTATGGCCAAAATATGAAAGATCACACCTTCCTCTTCCTGTACAAAAAAAGCTGGGGAAATTATGAGTCTAATCCCTCATCTTCCCCTTACCTGTACCACAATGGCACCACTTTATATAACAATTTCTCACTTACAAATCCTGATAAATCTGAAAACCTCCTTGGTAAACTTCTTGGGAAGAAAATTATTTATACATTTTTCCCTATCACATCCCAGGAATTGCATGTCTTGTTGCTGCCTGGGAGGGTCACCTTTACCCCTGTAGTTTCTACTTGCTGCTTTGCCTCCTACTGCTCCAAGAGCTTGATGCAAACCAACCATCACAGAGAAGGGTAAGCATTCTCATTTTTGGCTAAAATTAAATACAAAAATGTCAGTGCAAAATATTCGTCACTTCGTAGCGCATCTACTAAACACAGCCTAGGCATCTTAGGCTTTGGGGATCTGAGTTTTTAACGCTTAAAACTACCACAGTTTCTATGATGCAACTATTTTCCTGAGCACCCCGGGGGTCTTGCGTTGAGACCCAACATCACATTTGGCTAGAGTAGCAGCCGCAAGGGGGTACTATCGAAACCCGAATGAAAGGATAAATTGACGTTCCTACGCTGAATACGGAGAACAGCGGCTGAGCACCACGCGAGCCCAAACCCCAGAAGTAATTTCCCAGGCGCTGGTAGGCGCTGGTGGAGAAGGCGGCCGAGGTTACCTGCGAGCCCGTCCCTGGAGCAGCAGGTTCGGGCACAAGCCCCCGCGCTGGGGACGCGAAGCGGCTCCGCGCCCCGGACGCCTCGGGGCAGGGACAAGTCTATATCGATGATGGAATTCTCCATTTTCTCCGCGGAACACTCCTGACTCAGGGACGGCCCGGCCATCACACAGGTGATCACCAGCAGGCGAACGGACCACCAGCTGCCCGCCGGGGACATGGTGACCGGGGCGGGGGCTCGGCGCGGCCCGGGACGACCAGGCGGGTTTGTTTCCAGCTGCGCGGAGCGCTGGCGGCCAGGGAAGCCGCGCCGAGGTGCCTCTTCTGCTCCCCGGGCGGGGAGGCGTTTCTGGGGGTACCTTCGGGCTGTCCCCCCTGCCGCCCGGTGGCGGGAAGGCAGCAGCGGGGCCCGGCCGGGCTCGACCGGGCGGCTCAGGGGAACCGCGGGTGTCCCGCACGTCCGGGAGGAGGAACCGCGGGAGGCGGGTCCGGGCCGCCTGCCTGCCGTCCTCCTCCTCCTCCTCCTCCTCCTCCTCCTCCTCCTCCTCCTCCTCCTCCTCCCCCTCCTCCCCCGCCCCGGCCTGCCCCGGCCTGCCCCCTTCCTGCCCTTCTGCCTTCCTTCTTGCCTACCTGCCTGCCTACCTACCTACCTGCTTACCTGCCCTCTTCCTGCCCTTCTCCTGCCTTCCTTCTTGCCTTTCTGTCTGCCTACCTACCTGCCTATCTGCCTTCCTGCCTGCCCTTCTGCTTGCCCTCCTCCTCCTTTCCTCCTCCCTGCCTGCCCTCCTACCTGCCCTTCTCCTGCCCGGCTGCCCTTCTGCCTGCCCGGCAGGGCTGCGGGGGTGTTCCCGCTCCTCCAGCTGCTGGCCGGCGCCAAGGGCTCTTCCTGAGCATCAGACACAAAGGCAAAACCACACGGTGAAATTCTTCGTTTGTCAGGCTATTGTGGTTTTGCCCACAGTCAGATCTGCTTTTGGAGGCTGTAATGAAAGTGATTAATATGCATATCCTGGACTAAACGGACATGGACATATTTCCATGTCTATGTAAGAGACTCCGTGCTACCTGAGTAATCCTGTTCAAACACAGCCAAACACAGGGTGTTTGCAGAATGGGAGTTGTACACAATAGCCTGTCTACTTGGACTGGTGGCTTAGCCATTCCTCCCTCAGCTGTCTCTGTGAAATTGCTTGCTTAAGTAATGTTTTTGCTTGGAAATTTTTAATTTCCTTTTTAAAATTTCTTTTCTTATTATTTTTGGGGTGGTGTTTAGGAGTAAAAGTAGCCCAGAGACAAAGGAGTGCAAAGAATAAAAGGATTGTAGGACACATTCCTTCTTTTTCAGGAAAGAGACCTTTAATGTAGTTTCTTGTAAATAAAAGACATTTTCTTTTTAGAGATGGTACATTACCTGAAGAGATACCAAAGGGCAGGTTATTTTATATATTATAATGATTAGATGCCAAGGGATGGATGTTCTTGATGCCCAGTCAGTCCCCTTGGTCAATATGGCTGGGTTTTGGCTTTTTTCTGGACATGATTGTTCTAAGAGACTGAGACCACCATCACATTTTGCACCAAATGGCTATTTTGGGGCAATTTCTAATGTTTGGTTGTGATTCTCACATTCTTGGTGGGGTGTTTTTATCTGAAATTTTCAGCTACACTTGTTTAAGAAAATGTTTCTAGCCAGGCATTTCTCTTTTGGTAAACTGGTAACATTCATTGTTCAAAGAAAAAGTTGTAAGAGAATGTGAACACTTAAGGTGTCACCTATTAACTGCATCACACAGTGAATGACAATGGGAATGAATACTAAAAGTGAGCCCAGGTATTACTCCTACTATACGTTAGACAAAGTTGCATCTGCCACCTGCCTTTGCTTACAGCATGGTGGTGGTAGAAGCCAAGCAGAAAGAAGCTGAAAAATAAGTCTTAAGGTCTGTCTGGGTTGGTGGTAAGGGTGAGGACATTTGTTCTTTACCAGGACTGTTAGGATAGTGTTAATGGTGTGAGGGTACTGTAATGACAGTGACTGTGAAAATATACACAGAGACTACTGTGGTGGGACAGGCACAGATGATTATGGGAATATGAGAAGGGCTGATGTGATCTATAACATGAGCAGGGCAGAAGAGATATTGGGGATAACATGACTGCCCCGCTCTAGCCACCATGGCTGATTTCTGCTCTTCCTGCCTCTTCTTGGTAGGGTAGGTGCTCAGCCTCCCTGAGGAGACTAGAAGCAAATCTGTCAGGCTGCTGAGGTGCAGGGAAGCCAAGGTCCATCAAAAGCTATGCAGAAACCTTGTCTGTTCGCTAGGAAAGTGACAGCCTTGCCCAGCAGCTGCTGTGCTCCCTTCACCACTGAGATGGGAAGGAAGGGAGGCCGAGAGAGGGAGAATGGAAGGACCCCCAACTCTGCGTCATGGTGCTAAGTCACTAAAGGTGTTTTCCTGCTTCTGTAGAGCACCTCTCTGCTTGAGAGCCAGTGCTCATGGTGAAACACTTGGGCACAGATAGGATGAACTTCTATTGTAACCTATTGGGTTACCAAAGTACATAGTACAGCGTACAGCCTATAGCTAGCAAAAGGTGATGTTGGATTGGGCTGATGTTCTCATGAGATAGGAGTATTTTTTTGTGTTAAATTAAATCTTCGTGACAATTAGCAAAGACAGCCTAGAAAAATGGTGCTGAGTTTGGTGCAGAGCTTTTGATGATGTTGGGCTTCATGCATGAGCAGAGAACAGGCTTGTTCAGAAGCTAGCACACACCAGTGCTGGTCCTATTATAGACAATTCTTCTGTCACAGACAATTGCATGATGCCTTTTCTGATTTGACTCCCAAATCTTCGTTTGTGAAGCCTAACCATGAAGTCTGAAATCTCAAAGTATATTTTCTTTTCATTTTCACTTGTGTGTTTTCGGTTTGCTTTTTTTTTTCTTTTTTTTTTTCTTTTTTCCTAAGCCTGACCTCCCTGTGAACTTTTGATCTGGGCTGCTTTTCCCTCACTCCTGGCACACTTGTATATAAGGCAGCTGGTGATGGATGTTGCCCAGATTGCTCTGTGTCCAGCTGTCTGGGGTTTGGCATGTTTGTCTTAGCAGAGAAGAATTAATACATGCAATTAAAGAAATCCCAAAATCACAGATTTGTTAGGGTTGGAAGTGACCTCTGAAGATTACCTAGTCCAACCCCCCTGCCAAGGCAGGGTCATTTAAGGCAGGTTACACAGGAACTCATCCAGGTGGGTTTCAATGTCTCCAGTCAGGGAGACTCCATGCCTTCCCTGGGCAGCCTGTTGAAGTGCTCTGCCACCCTCAGTGTAAAGAAGTTCTTCCTCATGTTAAGATGAAACTTCTTGTGTTTTACTTTATAGCCGTTACTCCTCGTCCTGTTGCTGGGCACCACCGAACACTCTGGCACCATCCTCTTGGCACCTGCCTTTGAGATATTTATATGCATTAATGAGATCCCCTATCAGTCTTCTCTAAACTAAACAGGCCAAGCTCCCGCAGTCTCTCCTCATAACAGAGATGCTCCAGACCCCTCATCATCTTTGTGGCCTCTACTGGACCCTCTCCAGTACGTCTCTTATACTGAGGAGCCCAGACCGGGACACTGTACTCCAGCTGTCGTCTCGCTAGGGCCGAGCAGCGGAGCAGGATCATCCCTCAACCTCCTGCCCAAGCAGATGAGGGATGCTCTGCACCGCCCTGGCCCGAGAGGCCCATCCGTATCCGCTCGCCGCCACTCCGGTGGGGCAGAAGAGAGAGCCCCTCCCGCTTCCCCCCTTCGCTGGGCGGCCCCGAGCGCAGCCCCGCCCGCGGGCGGAGCCGCCGTGACCCGGCACCGCCGGAACCCCGTGGGCGGGCGGCGGCCGCGGCGCTGCCACCGCGCTGCGGGAGGCGGGGAAGGAGCGGCCGCCGCCATGGGAGCGGAGCAGAGCGCCGAGGCCGAGAGCCGCCCGGGCGAGCCCAGCGCCGCAGGTCGGTGCCCGGCGCCCAGCAGGGATGGGGGGGGAAGAGGGAGGGAGACTGAGACAGGGCGCCGTGAACGGGGCTGCCCCCCGGCGAACGGGGCTGCCCCCCGGCGAACGGGGCTGCCCCCCGGCGAACGGGGCTGCCCCCCGGGCAGTGGCGAGGGGCGGCGGCTGTGGATCAGGGAAGAGCTGTTTCCTTGGGAGGCAGCGGCGGGCGCCGGCCCGGCCCTTCCTGTGACGGCGAGGGGGCACCGCCCAGGCCGGGGAAGGCAGAGCCGGAGAGGTGGGAGCACAGTGGGCAACGTGGGTGTGGAGCTGAGGGAGGAGGAGTGAGGAGGGTGTCAGTGGTGCAGGTGTTTCAGAATCAATTGTTACCCGATTTGGAAAGCGAGAAAGGAGCTTAGAGTCTTCCGATGATCTCGGTAATGTGTTTGTACTATAAAAAGCATATCTGTACAATGTTAAATAGAGCAACATTCACATAGGGTTAGATTCTGATGGAATCTGCTTATTAATTTGATTGTTCCCTTTCCCTCCCATATCCTTCCTTTGCATCTCCTTTGCCAGCCAAGCAACGCGCAAAAATGGACGACATTGTGGTGGTAGCCCCAGGAACACAATCCTCACGGAATGTCAGCAATGATCCAGATGTCATAAAACTGCAGGAAATTCCAACTTTTCAGCCCCTTTTGAAAGGTGGGTGATTGTTCTTCCTCTGTTTTTAAAAACCATCTTTTTTTTTTCTTTTCTACCTAATGGAATGTGTGCTTTGTGTATCCTGAGGTTCCTACTGAAGTTCATATTTCTGTCCCTATTTTTCACTATCCCTCTTGTTTTAAACCTTACTTTCTGTTGTTCTGTCCCAACCTTCTAAATGGTGGATGAACTGGTTTAGAGATGTGCTAGTAATCTCTGCAGTGGAGTGTCTTCTGTGAAGACAGAAGAGTTCCAAGCATACCAACTTGCCCTGTACCACTGGTTGATGGGATATGCTGTATTACATTCTGATATATAATGGATCACAGTCTCCAGTTTTGCTCTAGTTTCTTAAAATCAATTGTGTGTTACTCTCTGAGAGTCATAACTACCTGTGTATGCATTCAGTTGCTTGAAATCAAGATATCTTATGGGAGTTTCCAACATAGAGCAGATTTTGCTCTTGTTTTTTTTGGGTGGGATACATGGACTGGGGCTTTTCTTTGTTTCTTTTCCTCACGCTGTTTTTTTCGTACATCCCCTGCACTCATTATGTGTTCTTTCTATTCTGTTCAAAGGGAAGTGAAGATTTCAATCAAAACTGTCAAGCTTACAGTTTAAAAAAAACTGTTTGTGCATTTTGTGGCCTGGCTTCTAGCTATGTATTTTTGA